ATCATAGTTGTGTAGGAGTGGCTATTCTTGTTAATCAAAATTGATGTAGCGACTGTAAGTTCGTATTTTCCTATTCTAGTTATTTGATAAACGTTATCACTGTCATATGCTAGCCCTGTTGCTGTATATTTTAAAGCTATTTTATTTGCTAGTATGTACATATCTCCTCCATTTGTAAAGGTGCTCTAACCCATTTTTGGCGTCTTTTTTACAAAAGCTTGTCATATTGTCCTGAGAGCATTTAATTTCCTTATGCGGTAAACTTAAACGGGTGAATCTCCATCCGCTCACATTTAGACTTGAATAATCTTGTCTCCTTAATTACTCCTGTGTATGCCTTTGTTGATCACATTTTTATAAATCACATCAAGCTCTGTTGCGTTAAAAATCGGGCTCCCTTTTCAGATGCAGATCATGCTATTTTACTGGGTCTTTTAAAAATCTATTTCAACTCTAAATCAGAAATGAAACGTCAAGGTCCGCAACACGTCCGCACAAAACATTCGCCTACTTCAGATTTTCACATATTATACTTTTCCTACTTTCTTTCAGCAGGTGAATGTTGAAACATGTTTTAGCCATCCTGTTATGTTTTAAATAAAACTTTTGATATTTACTGTCCGGTCGATACTGGTATGGTAAGACCGGATAGAATTTTTTCTGCCTAGCTCAAATTCTTAAGATGCAAGAAGGAACTTATCTACAAGCTATGCTTGAGTGACAATGTTAGGACGTTACCATCTTAGTAAACAGAGATTACCCGCCTAAACGACCTGTTAATTAGTCACCTTTTAATCTCATCTCCCCTTCTTTTTCCCTTTCTCTGCTGAAGTGTGAAATAATCTTAAGCGTCTCGCTGGTCGTCAAAGCTCAGTGGTACACGTAAATACTGATTTAGACTCCTCAAAGAAAAATTTTTTCGATACAAGCGAAGATGCGAATTCTATAATCTAGTTGATCAGAAGAAGAAGAAGAAGAAGCGATCGCTGGAACAATGGCCTTATTCGCCTGACGTTTCGGATACTCTCTTGAATCCATCATCAGAGACAGTTGCAGGAAAGGGTAGCTAATGTACAGGAAGTCGCAGTATTTATAGGATGCGGTCGCCATGCTACCGTTCAGCAAAAAGTGACTGAACGAGCCCGCGAGCAGAGAGCGACACGTGATACAGCACTGGGGAACAAATTCCACAAACTGCCTGATCCAACGTCATCCGGAAGCGGCACACTGGTACACAACTTGTCCTCAAAGGAACTGACGAAGGATCAAGTACAGGTTTTACGGCACGAAGCCTCATCCAACACAGATGACGCCAAACCTGTCAACATGATTGCAGCAGTGGAGTCGGTCATTAATCAGACGGAAGCGGCGGAGGAGACGAATAAACTTATCTGACACCAAGTTTCTTCCCTCCTTCTGACTCACAAACCGCGCGAAAAACTCACAAGTGTCGAACGCGATGCAATAAAAGAACTCAAGGCCGACAAGGTCATCGTCATTGTGCCCGCGGACAAGGGGCGTTCCACCGTCGTACTGGACAGAACAGACTACCTTCAGAAGGCTAAAATCCTACTGGAGGATCGCAAGTTCTATGTCCCATGTGAAACCAACCGCGTAAAAACGCTGTCACGCGAAATTAATGCAACACTTTTGGCACTGGAGAACTCGGCTGCAATAACACCGACCGACCGACGCATGACAGGACCCCAAGAAACGGCCTTGGCCCGATTCTGTGGTCTCCCAAATTTGCACAAGCAGGGCGCTCCTTTCCGGCCCATCATATCGCTCAAAGGCACTCCAACGTACGGACTGGCAAGATGGCTGTTTCGGCGCCTCAAATTTCTGACAGCTGATTCGGACACCACGGTCTGTTCTTCAACGCAATTCCTGGAGAATCTTAAAGGAGAAGTCTCTTGTCCAATGAGGTCAGGGTATCTTTTGATGTCACGTCCTTCTTTAATTCTATCACCCAGGATCTGGCAATCGAGACCGTCCAGCTACTCCGACGAAACTAATACGATGAAACGGAGAATCGTCTCGGACATGCCCAAGTCCTTCAGCTCCTAAACTTCAGCCTCAGGACGTACTTCACGTTTGACGGAACAATCTACGAGCAAGTGAAAGGAACACCAATGGACTCGCCGATTTCGGGATTCATCGCCGAGGCTGTGCTACAGCGGTGGGAGTCGCTAATCTTCTAACACCACAGACCGAAATTCTGGGCTCGGTATGTGAACGATACCTTCGTCGTCATCGAACGGGATCAGGTGCTAACGCTCAAAGAACGTCCCAACAGCGTCTTCCAGGACATGCAATTTACGATGGAGGAGGAAGAGAATAACCAGCTGGCATTCCTTGATGTCCTCGTCTGTCGCAAAGATTGTGGTGGCCTAAAGACCAAAGTGTTCAGAAAAGCAACGAACACGACGCAAATTCTGAATTTTAACAGTAACCACCCAATCAGCCACAAACGCAGTTGCGTAAGAACGCTATTTTGGCGTGTTGAGACGCACTGCAGTGAACCGTAAGACAAGGTTGCCGAATCCCAATATCTTCGACGGGTTTTCCGAGACAACGGTTACCCGCACAACTTCGTCAACCAGTACCTGCGCAAACGATACGAGCGACAAAATCGCGCCGACCCCAAATTCTAACGAGCGATCCCGTACTTCAAGAACGTCTCAGAGGCCTTTAGTCGCCTTCTTGCACCACTTGGGGTTGGAGTTGCGCACAGACCGGAGGCCACCATGAGGCGTCAAGTGACGAGACCAAAAGACCCACTGCCACGGCAAGAAACATCTGGAGTCGTTTACCGGATCTGGTGCAGTTGCGGACAAAGCAACTACGTCGGAGAAACTGGAAGACTGCTCCGGACGCGAATCGCCGAACACGTGGCAGCTGTACGGAGAAATGACGCCAACTCTCAGGTCGCGGCCCATTCGACGAGACCCGGCCACACATTTAAGTTAAATGAGGCCGAAATTCTCGCGAGAGGGGATAATCGCGTGAGCCGCGAGTTGCTTGAGTCATGGTTAACCGGACCTTAGTCTATCAACAAGTGCAACGACATTCCCACTCCATATTCTGTGCTGAGGCATAGACTGGCCAAAGCAATTGACCACTCGAGGCGCGTGCAAGCCGGTGAGCCAGATGGCCGAGAAATCATCACGCCATCATCTAACACGGGTGATGAGATGTCAGCAATTAACAACTTGCATGCCGGCCATCAAGCAAATAGCGCACCAGCGGGCAACAATCCTTGATGAAGGGAGCACGGTTAATTGCTGTAGGTATGCGGTAGCATGGCGACCGCATCCTATAAATACTGCGACTTCCCGTACACTAGCCACCCTTTTCTGCAACTGTCTCTGATGATGGATTCAAGAGAGAATCCGAAACGTCAGGCGAATAAAGCCATTGTTCCAACGATAGCTTCTTCTACTGATCAAAAATGTTATCTTTGGTCACAATGACTCCATCGTCCATTAAATGGCATTTCCTTATAAACATGTGCCTTCCAACACGTGTCTGTGGAAACAGTAGAGAAACGCCATAAAAAGTTCCGCGGATCAACAGCTGCCAGACCGGATGATGTTTCATTTTTTCTCCATAGAGCTTGTTTTTCTCATAAAGTCCCTATTTTAACGCATCTTATTAACATGCTTTTCATGGTATTCGAGATTTTTCATGTGTAGCCTACAGTAAGAATTACTCCTCTCCCTAAAAAAATCCGATATTTTGGTTCTAAATCTATTCGTCTTATGTTCTCCTCTTCCGAACTACTACAGTTAGCTGAACGAGTTACTCTGGATATCAAAACCTTTTCAATTTTTCCAATCCTTTACAATTTGCATACAGAGCTAAACGTAGTAATTTAGGTGCTGTTGAATTTGTGGTCCACTTTACCCTAAGAGAATTAAATAAGGGTTGTCGCGAGTGCGCATATGCTTTTATTGACCGCTTCTCCGTCTTCAATACCTTCCCGCGTACTCGTTCCCTTACCGCAACCTCAATTTGCGGTTCTACAGGATGGGTCGTCTCTTGGCCTGGCGACTATTTTACATCTCTTACTCAGTTTGTTTAATCTGGCAAACGGAACCTTTCTCTTATTCCCAACGACTTTGGAGTCCTTCAAGGTTTCATTTTATCCCCTCACCATTTTTCTCTCCAAATTAAAGATCTATGATTCCCAAAGGACTGTCTTTTTCCCTTAGGATGCTGATGATGTGGTTGCTGGAAACCCTCTCAAAAACGGACCTCTAGTTAGTGACCTAACTCATGAAATGTGTCTAAATTTACGAATGATGGCTAATCAGTCGCAAACCGATAGCATTTCATGAGTCAACTGTCTATTTTAATTATGTAAAAGTTTAAAAGAATTAAAAACATAAAAAAATACTAAAGGTAGTGTTGCGTCCCTCTGGTCGGACAATTGTGTGTAGCCTAGACTGTACAAGGCGAAAAAGAGGTTCCTGTCTTACGGGATCGGTATGAAGGGGGGTTTTTTGGGTGGGGTAAACGGGGAACCCATTAAAGAGTAAGAAAAAACAGTAAAAAAATGAGGTTTAGAAAGTAAATAATAAAGTTTGTTTGAGGTGAAAATGTGCCGAAAATTCAAAACGGAAGCCGTAACCAATGGGAGCAATACACCCAATGCCAAGGCCATTCGGCTGAAGTCGCCCCAGACAATACTGCCACTGATGATGAATCCTGGTCAAATGCCAACGTCAAGTAGGGCGGTTGAAAATGAACCCGAAGAATGGTAATTATGAATGCAAAATACGGAGGACGGAAGCCTTATTTATTAATTTGTTCAATAATAACCAAACGTTTCCCACTTATAGAAGGGTGACAGCAATGAAGAAACGTAAGGCCTCTCCGCAAGCTAATAATGCCATCGGAGATTGAACAGATCCCGGATATTACCCAGTCCCCATATGTAGTGCAATAGTTACAAGCTAAACGAGTCATGGCGACAGAAACCAGATGTCGCTGTCGTAAACCGATGCCGTTGCGAATATTGCGTCAGCACACAGACGGGTTTGCCTTCAGGTACACGAAAGTATTAATATAAAGCATTGCCTAGGTGTAACAAATATGGTACCAAAAGGGCACTGAGAACTGGTTCGGTGTTTAAGGAAAGTCGCCTGACTTTATCGAAGGTCCCATGTGGCTCAGGCCTATCCAGTCTCAGAAGAGCACTCGGAAACCGAGATATTTAGCAGCTGACCGGAAAGGTAAGCAGTGAGATGTTAATGATGTTGTACACATAGTGCAATAATAGCAGCCAGTGGAATAACAGCCAGGGAGAACAACTGAACGACCAGGCAATAGACATTTTGGCCACTGAAAACTGGTACAACGGAAACAGTTTGTAATTCTTTCATATTCCGCACTGAAATAGTGCATTCCTTACTATACCTCTCAACCTTTTTTCCCTTTTGTCCCATAACCCCAGCCGAAAATGCGCCAACGGGGATCGAAATCGTAGTATTTGAAGGGATTAATGGAAAACCTATGAACAGGTCCTAACTGCCGATCATGACCAATCGGAAGGCTACTTCGTAAGTACGCTGACCGTCAAACCGATGAATGATGTACGTATAACAGGAAAGCCAAACCTACTGGTCACCGCAAGGCGACCAAACCGCCCAACCACACGGGCGTACGAAATCGACCGAATCGCAAGGGGAAAGCGAGCGAAAGAGACCACAAAGAAACCCCGAGGGCCAGGTGGATACCTAAGCCCGTGAAAGTGCAAGGCAAGGCCAAACCCCTATGGTTGGTTAGCTGTTCCAAGTGGGCTGCGGTTGGGTGAGCCGTACGGCAGGCAAAGAAAGCAAACGGCAAGCGGCCTTCGGAGACCGCACAGGAAGCCAGCAACCGGGTTTAACGCCTGTACGGCTAGACCATGAAGGCTAGTGCAGCCCCTGAAGTATGTAAGAAGGGCATGTGCACTGGCGGGACAGACCTGCACCGATTAAGTGCACCCAACGCCTACGCGCCTAGCCAACTCACGCGGTAGTCGCATGGAACGCGGTATGAGAGGCCCCCCCCCCGCGATCGAATACAACGGGGCTGTTTCTTAAAAAAGGGGGGGGTGAAGGGTAGCGATCTGTTAACACGACTGAAGCAGCTCGCAATTAGAAGGGTAATGGAAAACGTGTTGAATCGCAATTCGCAAAGGTTAAGTCTTTCGCCTTTTACTAAAGATTTCCGTGTGGGGGGGTGCAATGCAATGAGCCCATATAGACAGTCTTGCAGCGCCTCGTTCTCGGGGCGGTTAAAGTAAAGGAGAAATTCATCCTGACAGAGCCTCTACGCCAAATCAAGCAAACGTAGCTGGAGTACCCAGTCGTAGTAATATAGCAAGCGCGCTAAGTGGCCGATGAGCGGGAATGTGAACGTGAGCAATAACATGAAGGAATTTACAGCATAACCGCCCTTCCTTCGTCCAATTGGCAGCTGTAAGTATATGCGGGAGGTATGGCAATGGCAACACAGCAGCAGACAAGGCATCCCAAAGCGAGGTCGAATACATTACACCCCCGTGCGGCCGACACGCCTGAAATATGTAACTTAATAAAAGCACGCCTACTGATAGGAAGCAAGCACGTCAACAATGTTGACTCATAATCCCAGGCTACTCTGAATTGTTTCGTCCAGCTATCGTTTAAAAAAGTAGTGTGTTTCGTGTTTTCTTTGACGATTTGCAGTTAAAAGAGATTGGATTCAACAGGGAAAGCTGGGGTTTGCTTGATTTTGCCTATGGGAACGTCGTATGATCAGAAGTCTTCATAAGGTGACACACCATAAGACCAGTCAGTGTCTAATAAATTTAAAACAACTGAAAGGCGTGGTCGTAAACATACCATTTTGTCTTTCTAGAGAGAACTTTTCTTTTGCATTGATATATGAACTTTTCTTTTGTTAAATTAATTTATACTTTCCCTTCGTTTTGGATTGCGTTTCTTACGTCTTTTTAATCTATACGATCATACAGCATTTTAAAATCGTCAACCAATTCACAGATTACTTGCTGGATGACGATGTTCGATTCCTACATTCTCTTCCCGCCCAAGTGCCGTGCATTTTGACTTATCACTTGTCGTGCAACGGCATATCAGCATTCAGTCTTGCCATTCCTGATGAGCAATTTTATGTGTGAAGAGACAGAAATACAGAACCTACAACTCGTACTATCCCGATAATAATCGTTCGTTTTAGATTAAGACTTTTTGAGTCTTGCGTAATGTATTAGTATATTTTGTCCTCAGTGAATAGAGCCAATTATTTTGACACTTCCAAATTTATAATTTCAAAAAAAGCGAATTACTCTTTTTATTTTTCCAAACTCCACTTGGTAATGCCCTAGAAATCAGAAGCCGGTCAAACACCCGAACGAGCAATCATTTCGCTATTGGTCAGACAGTACAACTTTATTGCCGATAGTTGCAGGGATATAAAAACATAAATTTTATAGACACTTTTGCGTTATGTGACACTTTTATGCACACTGGATGACTAAGACGTAAAAGTGCAGTCGTTATCCACAGATCAGGATTCGCGCACATGTGCTCTGTAAATTTTAAAAAGTTCTAGCACTGTATCGCTTAAAACACAGTCTACCAATATTTTTGGTGGAGTTTTTTACTACTCTGCAATGCAGGCTCAATAAAAAAATGACCGAGTACAGGAAAGATAGGCCGTCCTCTTACAGGTTGCCCTGAGCTATATTTCTTTAAACTAAGTGTCAAGGACAGGATTAGATTTAGGGTTAGATTTAGGGCCTGGATTAAGCTTAAGAGGTTTGGGATCAGAAGAAGGCTTATTCTTGCTATCGCGTTAACACACATCCCTTCTGAGATGCGGGGCAAGTTTACCAGTAGTACTGAGCAAAAATCCTTATTATTATGTCTGACCGACAAGATTAAATCATGTCGTCTGTTTATGCAGTTTCTGAACAGATTCTGAAATTTATCTTCCGTAGAGGACTACGGAGACCCTTTATAGAACTTTTAATCATGCATGCTCTACTTTAGGTCCTCTTTGTATTATATTTATAGTAAATAGTAACATGACAGTTCGACCATCGTTTTCGATAATGTCCACCGTGTGCCCCACAGTTACAGCAGCAATGGGAGCAGGGACGGTGACTTACGCAGGGGTTTATAATGCCGGTAGACTTGCGTAGCATTTACCTACACTCTCTCCTCCTCCCTCCGAAGATGTCCAACAAGTACGATTTTAGCCCGGAATGTCCGTTGACATCGAGGACACGTTGGAAGCGATTGTGCGGCGGCGTTGCTTACTGGACGAAGTTGTGATTTGCGGGCTTCACGGTTCGCTTTGGCGGCTGCGATGCGGTTGGCTTCGTAGATCGCAGCGCCTGTCTTCACTGTTCTCCTCCAGGTCGGTCGATCGAGTGCGAGCTCCTCCCAGTTGGTGGGGTTGATTTGCAGGCATTTCAGGGAGGACTTCAGGGTATCCTTGTAACGGCGAATCTGGCCTCCTTGACGGCGAGAACCCGTCGCGACGTCTCCGTAGAAGAGTCGTTTGGGTAGTCGCTCGTCGTCCATGCGCATACGGATAGTTACTGAAGGGAAAAGATGCGCCATTTTCATCTGAACGTACGTATTCGCAGGACCTACGTGGATCATTTAGAAATGCCTTTTGCCGTTTGAGGGAAATTTGTTACGATGAGTAATTATAAACAATTTTACGATTGCGAACGGCGTGTAAGAACGCCTTTGGAAATTAGGAGTCAGTTAAAACAAACGCTCACGTCTAAGCCTCGCAAATGACCTCCTGTTCATACTAAATCAATATTATTAGAGGATAAAAAGTCAATTTCACCAAATTGAAATGTTTTCAAACTGCCTTGTGGTAAGAAACTTCAAATCTCCAGTTGATTATGATCCTTCTATGCTCATTACTAGGGTTGAACGTACAGGTTTTGCTTTGGGACGACCAATTGTGAATATTCAAATCCGTTCGACAATATTTCCAGGGCGCAATCAAAATTCGCCGAAAAATCTGCAGTGACCATTCGAAATTCAAATTCACCAAGCATAGTGAAAACGGCATGTTTAAAAACCCGTCTGCAACTGGTCTGCTGATCCGTAGCCTGATGGTGCCATTTACTCCTGTGACATCAATACACACCATGTCAAAATAGAAGACTTTTTTCAAATGCAAATTACAGAAGTTAAAGTCCGATGGAATTTACAGATAACCCTTGGAAACAGTCCATAATGATCTGCAGAATTGTAAAGCGTGCTTCTGCTACCAAGATACACATTGCGCGAACGTAAGTATGTTACTACGTCTAGGAGTTCCCTCAAGCAGTCCTTTTAATTTGATCTTACACACATAACTACGTTCTCGTGGTGGTTTTTTTTAAACACATGCGCTTTGACTAAACGACGCAAAATGTCTGGACAAAAACTCGTAGGCGACTTTTCAGAAGGTCCTACCTGAAATTTTGGCAAATAAAGTTTATTGGTGTATTTGGACGTGCTTTCGTGCTAATACGGACGAGTTCATGAATTCTACACATAGTACGAACTACCACATCTCATAAACATATCATCATGCACATTAGACTTCCAGAAGCAAACGTTCAATAACACATTTATGGATCATGCCCATTTAGAAGTCCAGGCATGAGACGTAGATAGACTTATGAAAGTTAGCAGGATGAATCAGATTATGAGACAGTTGGGGAATGTGAGTGCCAGTTTAAATATATTTTTGTTAGGTTGTTTTGTCTTGCTTATTTATATTCCTAAGGCTGAGTAAATCGATGTGCATTTACGTCTAAAATATGTTGGATTATTATGGGGAAAAAACGGCATTTAAGTTGTGGAAGATTGACGATTTTTCACAGCAACTTGTCGGTGAGGGCATGGGGACCGCATATTTCCGTGGTGCTAAATGCGCACCGTCTATGGAAGAAGACAACCAGTAAATGGGCCTTAAAGCGAGCGGGGTTGGCTTTTTTAGAGTTTGTCAGGCGTTGCTTTGAGACATTTTTGCATCACGCAATCGCAGAAAGGCAAAATGAGATGCGGGTCAATGTAAACACAAAATATGCCAATGGTTCATTAGGATTTCAATTTATAAATAGAGACCTACGACGTCGTTTTGCGTGCGGACTAGACGGAAGACTGCAAAGGCCCAATATGTGTGTTGATGAGTTGTGTTGAGACGTGTTGTTAGTCAGACAATAACTACTTACACTCAAAAGCTTTTATGATGTCTATGGAGTGTTAGTATACAATGGCACGAGATGAGATTTGGTAAAATAAAAAGAAAGAAAACAAGCGATGTACAGTAGAAATTGCCGTTGAGAAGTAGCCAAAAAACCCGGTTAAAAAGTCGGTTTGTTACACAAATATTCTGCGCTTCGACAAAATTTTGTCAGTCTAGCAAACCCCGCCGAAAATCAAGAATTTCAATTTAAAAAAAGATGATGGAGAAATGGTATCTTAATAGTTTGAAAACATGTCCTTGGCTGTTGGCCGTCCATGGGGCGATGACGATGATCTAATGCAATATGAAGAGGGTTGAAAATTTCTGTTTAGTAGACACGGAGGTTTATTGAGCTGACGGACACCAAAATAACCGCGTTTTAAAAGACAAACAGTTTACAGGGCACAAATTTTGGCTCGGATAACGATCTCATAAACTGCCGGCTTATAGGGTGAATATACATACATATATAACTTAATTTGCAGCATGCTGAGGTGTAGGAAAATTACGTCTGTTGTTGCAAACGGTTATATCTTTAGCAGTTTCAAAGCACGTAGACAGAATGAAGTCCTACGCTGAACCCTGCGGAATATCAGACTCCATTGGCTTCCATTGTAGCAAATTTTAATGTTGGATAAATCTTCGCTGGGAAAGTTGCTTTCTCTATGACTATACCTTCTTCAAAATGCGATCAAAGTTTTCACTTTCAGTGGATTATTACGAACATCAATTGAAAGGAGAATTATCGGAGTCGACTAATATAATCAGCTTTGGGTTCGTCAATCAGAGGCATGCACTGAGAAAGCATATTTGATAAAGAGCACTTGGACAAATTGAGGCAGTATCTAAGATGGAATTTCTGCGCGGAGTATACCACTAATGGAACACGCTATAGAAATAGAGATTCGTGCTTTTTTCATTTCTAAACACGCATCCTGAAAAACAAGTGACACATTCTCGTCGCATGCTATTTTAAATATAGGAGGTTTTTTATGATTACCTCGGGAAATAATGAACGCAAGTACTAACAAAATGAAAGGCATCAATAAAAGGGTTTCGTAAACAATTAAATTTTTTAAGGTTTAGAATGTGCACTCGAGTCTCTCGTCATGAAAAAGTTCAAACAGGGGAAGGATCACACAGGAATTAGGGTGTTTATTGAATTTTGTCGTTATGTCGTCAAGTTTCTATAGAAATTATTAGCTAACACCAAAAACCCGGGTGCTAACATTGGGTGCGGCAACAGGGATTATTGGTTGTATAAGTCTCTATTACACAGACGAATTTTAGGAAAACGGGTAACCTAAAAAAGTAAAAAAAACACCTTCGCATTTAGCATCTGATCATCATCTAATGACACGCTTTTTTAAGCAAGTTGCTGCTCGAACTTCTGAGTGACAACATGAGAATTCACCATGACCGCATTATTTTCCCATCGAATTAATAAACCGCCGAACGATAACAGTGAGATTGGCATTTAAATTTGATCGGGCTTTTCTGCATCAGAAAGCGAAATATAAATCTGACAAACGGTAGCTCATTCGTCTGCGTGATGACTAAGCCGAAATGCAGCAGTGTTTACATTATGAGCAAATGAGATGCAAGCACTGGTAGTCAGCAAGAAGAGCCACTTGTCAAGAAAAATATAACCGCAAAACTACTTTTCTGGCATGTTGAAACAAAATGCAGTATGCGGAGCCCAGGGTCACCCAATTATAGTGTCATATTCGAATGTGCACAACTAACCCCAATAAATGGTAAGTATCACATCGAGACAAGTTCAAATTGCATAGATTCAAACTACTTTCATTCGCCGGGAGATGGTCTGCTAGTTAATCTGTAACGAACGATGATGTCCGTCATATTCACCATAGTGTGTTGTGGTTTTTTCGATGATATTTGCGTACTCCTGCAGTGTGTGTACCAATCTCTCCCCATCATCCACCCGAAAACTATGGGCGACAAAGTGAGGACAACCAGGTGCAACTGAGACACACTGACACTGGCAAAGTTAACTAACCGGTCTACCGGCATAAAAAAACAGGTTCCCATAAAAATTTGGGGTCAGTTTGGAATTCGGCTAAATGGGAGTGACACAGAGGTCATTTTAAGAAGAAGCCAGTTTGAACCGACTCCCAGGTCTTTAATCCGCTTCTGCAAAAATAAGATTGACGGTTACGACCAAGATTGCCCTTGGTTCTCCTGACTTTTACTTTTCACTTATACCGAGAGACTTGAGAGGATGGTAGATGCTGTAAAAGTTTGCT